CAACAACCATCTTTTTTTTTTTTATTAATTACATCCATGAATGGATGTGCATCTTATTTCTTCCAGAAAAAACTTACATCTTGATGCACCATTGAGTTCAAAGGAACTCAACAAAAGTTGCCAGTTCTTTGACTAGCAATATGTACAAAAGTAAACTTAACCAACAAAGAAGTTGGCCTTGACATATTTAATTCTCATGCTAGGTAATTGAGCTTTATCCAGCTGATAAGCTCCTTTGGAACTGTTGGGGATCTGCTGTCAGTTTTGAAGGATATGGCTTCCCTCATTGATGGCACCAAATTTGGCTAGTCCATCTGCCACTTGGTTAGCCTCTCTAAAGCAATGTTCAATACTACAATTCATATTGTTGATGATCTGCACAATATCTTCGATTATAGTCTTGAGTTTAAGATTGTTGGTGCCTCTGTTCTTTAGCATATCCACAATTATCATAGAGTCTACGTCAATTATTCAATTAGTCAACCCATTCTGAGAACACCACTCTATCCCATACTTAGCCACTTTTGCCTCTTCTTTGTTATTGATGTCACAGTCCACCTTGCCGCAAATGCCATATTCATTCCTAACTATGCCACCAATGCCAGCTCCGTTTTTGGAGAAACTCCTATCGGTGTTGAGTTTCACCTTTCCTGTGGTTGGTTTAATCCATTTGATTATCTCCCATTCGGTAGTATGTCTAAGATGCTCCACTGTTTCGCTGAAATTTTTCCAGGAGTCTGCCATCTCAAATGTTGGAAAAGCTAACTTGATAGCCATCTTGAGGTTCAACCAGATGTTGTTCTCCATTCCTCTATACCAAAACATCTTTTGTGTACCATATTTACAAGAACACCTTTGTCTCCATTTCTCCCATTAGATTAAAATAGGAACAATGTGTAAGGTCATTTTGTGGATGCTTCTTTTTGCTCTGGTCGACCACCATTTTCTGAGAATTCATTTGACGCTCCAATTTGTCTAAGTACATATACCTAGAGGTACCCCAAAAGTGTTCCACATATGTCTAGCTATGTTGTTGCCCAATTTCCTTCTGTTTTTGTGCACAACAAACAAAAAGACACTCCCTGTCAGTCCCAAACTTGCATAGAGTATCATCGAAAGGAAGTTTTCTATGGATGATTCTCCATGCAAGGAAATAAATTTTGAAAGGAAGTTTAGGATGCCATACCTAACAGGTGGTGAAATCCTCTTCTTTGTGCGTTCTGATAATGTTCCACGTCGACTTGGTAGAATATATGCCTTCTGTCTCAAGTTCCCACATAGCCATGTCTTTCTTGGGGCTCTTGCCAATATGGATATTAGCTATGATATTAACCATTTGATCACGAAGAAATTCAGCAAGCTTATTCATATCCCAATGCCCTTCTTGAATGAATTCACTAACTTTTGTTTTAGAATAAATGGACTGGTTAGTGAATATCTTAGCTAAAGCACCCTTTCCAGTCCAATTATCCCACCAAAAATTGCACCCTCCATCATTGATCTTCGAGACAATGTGTTCTTCAACCTTGTGTTTGATTTGCATACGTTTCCTCCAAGTATTGGATTGAGGAGCATTGATAGCTTTAGCAATAGGGCCTACTCTGGTACAATATTTAGCCATAACAAACGAGGCCCAAAGAGATTGTTGGGTCCTCAGGTTCCACCATCTCTTGTATGCAAAGCATTTCTTGATGTCTACAAGAGTTTTAGTACCTATATCTTCTGCATCCTTGGTGTTACATAATTTATCCCACGCACTCCAATGGTATTTGTTTTTGTCATCCTGAGTCCCTCAAAAAAAGTTAGCGATGAACTTTTCAATGAGAGTGAGAGTAATTCTGAGGGGATTGAGAGCTGCGAGAGTATATGTAGGGATAGCTTGGATGATACTTTTGATAAGTACAACCTTCCACCATAGGATAAATGTTTGGCATGCCACCCAGAAAGTTTGGTGGTGATTTTGTTAACTAAATCATTAAAGTAACATATTTTCCTCTTTCCGGTATAGATGGGGCACCCCAGATATGTAAAAGGAAATTACTTGTGTCTAAAACTTGTTTTATCAGATCCTATTGATCCTAGAGGGTGAGATTTTACTGGAAGTGCAGAAAAAACTCTTCTCCTCATTAACCTTTTTCCCGGAGCTTTTTTCATATAGCCTCACCTGTTTCATGACAACTTTAATAGACTTTCTTTTGCCAGCAGTAAAAATGTTAGGATTCTTAGAGAAGGATCGAGTCACAGGACGATGAACACAAAAATCTAAATCAATTGACTTCGACTTTCCCTTGCCTTTGTTCGAATTCCTAGATCAACCTAATTTTGTGTATAACTTCAGCTCATTGAAGGGAGACAGAAACCTTAAATTTCAATGGAAGAGAGAACTCCGATCTCTTGCTTTTTACTGAAATATGACTTAACGATTTATTCATCAAAAGCCCTTTAAATAGAAGTCTGATTACATCAATAGGAAATCTAATTCTTATGAAAGTAGGAGACCTAAATCTTATTCCAAACTAATAACTATAACTTAACCTAATCCTTATAAAACAATGAACTATAAACCCTATTCTAGAATAATAAATAAAGCTACAAAAAATATAATTAAATACTTGATTTAAGGGCTTCCAACGCATCCACAACATTACCCCCCCCCCCTTTTACATTGAAAGAGCTTTTCCTCAAGCTCGAATTTCACGGCAATCATCCAGAACTTCTGGAATATTGTTTGTTGAATCATCCAATTCCAGCCAAAAAAGTCGTTTGCACTGGTGAATGGCTGAATATAGTTCGTCACAATTATAGCATAATCCCTTAGCTCTTCTCTCTGCCATTTCTGCACGAGTTAATCACTTGACCAAAGGGGTCTAGTTGCTGGCTTGGTATTAAATGAATCGACTGAACTCGTAGCAGATTTTGCCAAGTTTACTATGATGCCAAGACTTGTCTGGGACTACTGCGCTTTTTGCAGTTGTTGTTTTTGCTCTAATGCCCTGGCTATACTCATAGCCGTTGATAAGTCAGATGGTTTGCGCAATTGGACGTCCAATTTGATTGAATCATCCAACCCTGCCATATATATTCCCACGTGCAAGTGTTCTGGAATAAGCTCATTAGCCCTAGCCAACTTTTCTTGAAACTGACATTGATAAATTTCAATTCTACCAGTTTGTCGAAGTGTGACCAATTCACCTACCAGGTTGCTACTTTCAGGAGGTCCAAATCGCTAGAAACGTTGTTTTTGGAAGTCTTCCCAACTCATTGGCCCCTTCACTCGTTTAAGCTAATAATACCATAATTGTGCTTCTCCCAACAGGTGAAACCCAACGACTCCAACCTTTTCTGCATCTGTTGTATGTTGATTTTCAAAAAATTGCTCACAACGATATGCCCAAATCAGTGGGTCGTTGGTGCCATCATAAGTAGGAAAATCCATTTTTGCATATCTTGGTATTGTCGAATTGGAATTACCACTAGTTTGATGATTATGATCAGATGGTTGAATAGGCAGTGTATTGCCTCTAGGAGTCAGATTTGTTGATTTACCAATTGTCTTGGCATTACTTGATTCTACCTCATGGACTACTGGTTTTGTAGAGCCAATTCCCAAGCTAGAAAATTGTTCTTGAATGACTTAGACAATTCCTTCACCGAGACGTTGTTCCATAGTTGCACGTTTAGAGTCCATTAGTGTTTCTGTAATAACACGTTCTTCGTGAAACCTGGAATTGATCTCATTGCGTAATATGGAATTGATCTCATCGCCCATTGTGTTAGGCTCTGATACCAAATTGTTAGGATTCTTAGAGAAGGATCAAGTCACATGACGATGAACAGGAAAATCTAAATCAATTGACTTCGACTTTCCCTTGCCTTTGTTCAAATTCCTAGATCGACCTATTTTTGTATATAACTTCAACTCATTGAAGGGAGACTGAAACCTTAGAGTTCAATGGAAGAGAGAACTCTGATTTCTTTGTTTCAGAAGGTTGCTAAGCCAGATGTCTGGTGAACACATTCGTAATGAGTATGGGTCTAGTAGGTGTACTAGTAAGGAAGCGAGGTACTTACTGAAATATGACTTACCTATTTATTCATCAAAAGCCCCTTTAAATAGGAGTATTATTACATCAATAGGAAATCTAATTCTTATGAAAGTAGGAGACCTAAATCCTATTCCAAACTAAATAACTATAACTTAACCTAATCCTTATAAAACTATGAAATATAAACCTTATTCTAGAATAATAAATAAAGCTACTAAAAATATAAGTAAATACTTAATTTAAGCGCTTCCAACGCATCCACAACAGAAAATGACAATGTCACCTGCATATGCCAGATGATTAATCTGAGGGCCATTCATACTCATAGAGAAGGGGTAAAAATTAGGATGATCGTAAAGATTATTAAGCATTCTTGACAGAACTTCATATCCCAGAACAAAAAAAGAAGGGGACAGGGGATCCCCTTGCTTCAAACCTTGGGATGAGGTAAAGAAACCAGTTCTATTACCATTGACGATGATCGAATATCACGTCTGAGACATCCATCTCCATATAATCTCAGTCCACCAAACAGAGAAACCAAAATTTCTAAGAACCGCAATAAGAAATTTCCAAGATATCCTATCATAAGCTTTAGCCATATCTAACTTTATCACAACATTGCCACCCACGTTAGGCTGAGAAATACTTTGAACTATTTCATGAGCCAACATAACATTATATGTGATGAGCCTGCCTTTGACAAAACCACTTTGATTAAGGGATATCAACTTACGTAAAAGAGTGTTAAGTCTTCTGGCAAGAATCTTGGAGATAATCTTACTAGAAAAGTTGCTTAGACTAATCGGTCTAAAGTCAGCAAAATTAGAAGGAGAGTTGACTTTCGGGATTAAAACAAGGCAAGCATGAGAATAATATTTTGTCAGAACCTGAGCTTTGAAGAAACTTTGGATAAAATTCACCAACTCTGGTTTTGATAATTTCCCAACATCTCTAGTAAAACATGCCATTAAAACCATCTGGTCCAGCAGAACTAGTAGGACTCATATAAAAAATGGCCGTTTTAATCTCGCCTTCATTAGGCATAGTGGACAACATAAGATTATCCTCGTCGATGATACATTCAGGGATGCAAGACACAACATTATCATCCACCGTAGGTTCAGGGAGATGAAAAAGTTTAGAGAAGTGTTTGACAGCAGCTTTACCAATCTTATCACTATATAAAATCCAATTGCCATTGTGGTTTTGTATTCTATGGATCTGAAGCCTTCTTCTCGTGTCTTTGATAACATTATGAAAGTACCTAGTATTGTTATCTTCTTCCTCAAACCATCTAATTTGAGCTTTCTGTTTTAGCAAAGCCTCTTGCATTGACATCCAAGAAACATATTCCGCTTGGCCCTTATTTAAATAAACTGTGGACTCTTCAGTGTTATCCATAACATCAATATCTTCAAGTCTTTGTACTATCTCCTCCCATTCCTCAACTTTCTGGAAGATATCTCCTATCGCGTCTTTAGACCAAACACTAAGCTTTTTACTCAAGTTCTTAAGCTTTTGTTGCATGATCCACATAGGGTGACCCTTAACATGGATTCTCCATTCCTTTTCCACAACATCATAAAAATCAGGTTGATCGATCCAGAAATTCAAGAATCTAAAGTATTTTATAGGTTCTTGTTGGTTGTCAAAACATTTAACCAGTAAAGGTCTATGATCTGACCCTGTCCTGCTCAGATGTCTTACCATAATATTTTGGAATTTATGAAGCCAACCATCATTGATAAGCACCCTATCAAACCTTTTCCATATCCTCTTTCTCGGCCTCCTGTTGTTGCATCAGGTGTGAGTAGAGCCCACGTAACCTGCATCTTCCACCCCACATCTCACCATACAATTGGCAAAAATCCAAGCTCTCACTAGTATGATACGGTTTTCCTCCTAGTTTTTCGGAAGCCTCCAGGATAACATTAAAATCTCCCCCTATGCACCAAGCATCTTGCACTTGAGAGTTCATGTTAGCAAGGCTATCCCATAGGTCCACCCTCTCTATTTCACTACATTTAGCGTAAACAGAAGTTATATGCACCCCATTTACGCCAGAGCCATTATCCATATACAAAGTGATTTGCTGGTCTTCAATCGATAGTACCATGGCATGTAAATTTTGATTCCAAAAACACCAAATCTACCCAATATCATTGCTAATGCAATGATGGAAACCCAAAAACTTTTTGTATCCCTCAATCTTGTTCATGTTGATGAAAGGTTCAAAAATTGCTACAAACTGGATGTTATTCCTTTTGACCAGACTCTTAAGTCTGTGTATTGCTTTTTTGGTCCTCACACCTCTTATGTTCCAAAAAAGTGCACTGATCATAAAGACATTATATGGATTTTTTTGTGTCCTTCCCTTACTCAAAGAGATGGAATTTTTAGTACTTCTTTTGTGATTTCTTCTTTGTCTGCTTCTTCCCCTCTTAACTAGAGATAAGCCACACTTTTGTACAACTTCTTGCATATGGTACCTCCCTAGGTCATCAGAGTCCCATTGTTCATCCTCGGAAAATTGAATCTTTTAGAATTAGCGGTCTCATCGTCAACCCCATCCATTGAGCTATCTCTTAAATCCTCTTCCTCCGTATGGTAATTCTCTGTATCGTGGCGTAAGTTGAGATCCACCACAAGGTTTATCCCCTTCTGGTTTTTTATCTCAGTATTTAGGCTAGATTCCATCACTGAATTTTCCACAATCCCATCACTGCTTCCTTGGGTATCCAAATATTTGGTATTTGCCTCTCTTCTTCTTTCCACTTCGGAATCCTTAACATCTTCCATCATTAACGCTTGGTTGACCTCCGGAGGTACATTAGAGGAACTTTGTTGATCCCTGTTGACACATTCCATGGTCTTTTGTTCTGTCTTTTCAGGAAATTCCTCATTTGAGATTTGTTTTACATTGTTGTTATATATACTATCGCCAGCCTCTGGTTTATTACTGGTATGTGCCTCCTTCTGAATTATATATTTCTTCTTATCCTTCCTCTTGTTGTTTTTGGTGTTATTTCCAGCTTCTTGTTGGTGTTTGTTCAGCTTGAAGGAAACCTTGGTTTTCTTTTCGAGTGCCTTATTGCTATCTTTCTTCTTCTTCTTTTTGTTTTTGTTTATTCTAACAACCATCTTGTCCTTCTATTCCTCCTTATTGAGATTTCACACATCATCAGTCTCTTGTTCCTTGTATTTCTCCTCGTCTCTTATCAGCTCATTGTTGATAGTTTCAACATCAACATTTTCTATATTCACAGTTTCCTTGTTCTTGTTCTTGTTCTTTCCCTTTGCTTGAGGTCTGCCAGCTTGAGTATTTTGTTCTACATCTTCGGCATTTTGGTCATTAGCATTCTTGGCCTTACCATTATCTTCGGCATTGCTTGTTTCTCCTTGTTCCGCTCTCTTAGCTTTAGTATTTTCCCTTTTTGCCTCCATGATCCTCTTTCTCTCCAAGATCCAACAATCATTCATATTTTGTCCCAATTTTTTGCAGTGTTTGCAATATTTTGGGATATTTTCATATTCCACCTTCTGGGTAAAACCAGTTAGTGAAGAGCCTTCATGTTCGAGCCCCACAAACTTTGTTTAGCCTTGGTTTGAGTAGGTTGACTTCTACCCTCACCTTTGCCATGCTGGGTCTTGTCTTACTTTCTGTTGCAGCGTCAAGGGATAGAGGCGTCCCAATGGGGATAAGAAGTTGTTTAACATATTGCCAGTTGTTCATATGAAAGGGTAATTCAGGTAAGAGAACCCATACCGGAAAGATGTGGATGTCCTCCTCCGGCTTGAAGTCGGGGGTCCATTTTTGCATCCACATTTGCAATCCCTCTATTTCAATCATTCTTCTATACCAAACATTCTGAAAGTCTTCATCATTCGAGCAGTCGATGAACACATTATAATTGTCGTAAACCCCAATTTTGACAGAGCCTTTGAGCGCTACCAATTCCTTGAATTTTGATCTAATTTTGTCAATTTGGGGCCTAGGTTTCAAAAAAATTCCAACAATGGTTCTCCTACAGTCTTGTGCCATGATTCCGTAATAGTTTGCAGCTTTGAAGATTACTGCTGGAACACCATTGTGAGCTGTTTGCCTTGCCATCACTTTTTCACGTTTTTGGGCAGATGGAATTGTCGTCGACGACGTCACAAAGACGAGAGGCATAAGAATTTTTCTCTTGTACTGAGTCGTTTGGTGGTCCAGTCCCTTTAGGAGTTTCTAGTTTCCCCCTCAGTCCCACCAGACCTTGTCTGTCCGGTGGTTCCATGACGGAACAGGGAGGAGAGAGAGTGTAGAACTAGTCGTTAATAACGTTGTGAACTTTTGTCCAACAACCATCTAATTTACATGGTTATATGATGTTAGAATTTTAAGTTTACGGGCACATATCACAGGTTGAAACAACTAAAATAAACGAAGAACATACAATTTTATACACTTAAGTAAAATAAATCAACAAAATAAAGAAACAGAAAAATCGAAGAAGGTAGGCAAAATAATCAAAGAAAGCAGAAGTGTGATACTTACAAAGTCGAGGAGGTTGAACACACTCAAGATCAATCATCACAACAGCACGGACAGAAACCTGAAAGAGAGCAATTAGAATTAACAGTTTGATTAGAAGGAGATGATATCTTACTACATAAAGAGTGATAAACATACTCCACAAGTCTGCTGCTACTAAATAGTGTATAAAAAGGTGGTTGTGTGAGGATGTATAGCATCTTATGCACAAGGTGAGATCCTAACCCACTCTTTTGCTGATTAAAAATATAGCATTTTGAATTTGTGTGGACTATTGGATTGATATTCTCTTATTATTAGTGTGAAAATTTAAGTTTGTCGTGACCAGAATAACAAGATTAAAAATAGAGAAAACAAGAATGAGGAAATTTTTAATTATGCAGTTCACATAAAAAAATTATATCATATTATAAGGTAAAATTACACTTTTGAAGGATAATGCAAATTTTGTCCTAGAAAGTATAAATTAACAAATTTATTAAATAATAACAATTATTGCATCTCATTTTACAGTATATGAACACATCAATAGATACAACATGCCAACATGCCACACCAAAAAAACTACTGGAAAAAACCTAGATGGTTCATAAAGCATAAACAAAATGGAGCTTTTCACAAAAAATATTCATATTCAAATTAAACGACATAAACTTACTTTAAAGAGAAGAAAACTCTAACAAAATGTCCACATATTATTACTCCCAAACTATTTTCCCCACACAAAGTTTGTGAATAAGTGATTGTCTGATAATTATTTTCATAATTAATTGATTTATATGCTAAAAGACCATATCTATAACATTTTTTAAAATTATCTTTTTGGTTTGATAATGAATAGAGTTCCGAATCATTTTCTTTTTTGTAATGAATTAATTGGTCTTTTTCATAAGAATTCCATTTGTTTAAGTTTCTATTTTTATTTTGAGCCATACAACTTTGATTAACCTTAGTTCGCCATTTTTTTGGCATTAATCTAGACCATCTAATCTGAGATAAATCGTATTGATAATGCCATCTTAACCAGTTTTTCCATTGATTGATTCTATAACTCTGAAGTTTCTTATGTTTTAATTCCGAATGAAATATTCCTAGTGTTTTAAAATAGTCCTTTATTTTAGTCTTAAGGAAGCAAGACGTTGTGTTATATTGAAGAACAGATCTAAATTTAGACAAATTAATAACTTGGGTTTGTGATAATTTGTAAAATACATATGCTTGTGACAAGTAGGATAAATCAGAAAAAATATGTGAATTTTTCTTACTAATATTATAAAGTGACTTTTTTATAGTCGAAATAAAGATAAAGTGAACAAAGATCAGTAAAAATCAAGTGAGAATTGAAGTAGGAAGAAAAAGTTGGTTAATTTCTTTTCACAAACCTGAATATCAGGAGATGTAGACCGCCCTGATTTTTCTCCAACAATGATCAGTTCATAATTCTATGGATTTGTGGGTCTCTCTAGTTTAACGGTCGAGTATCTAACTCCCGTATTGGAAAGGGTGCGGAAATGGGTGTGGTTGAGAGAGTACAAGTCATGGGTGTCAAATGGGTATAGATAAACTCAACTAGGAGCATTTACATTTCCTCATGTTTTCTGTAATGAAGCACAATGTTTAAAAATAGACATTAAATTTATTTTCATGATGATTAAACAAGAAATACTAGAACAAAAATATAAAAATAATTTATATAATAATCAAATTCATTCAAACGAAATCAATGCCCAACCATCACTCGCAGTCGCACCATACTTGGAAGGAAAAGCCATCATATTTTTAAGCTTCTTTTCTTTTTCATCTCCTCAACATAATGGCTCTTCATTTGCTGCAACCGTGGCAGTGCAGGTACGTTTTCTTCCATTTTTCGGGGGTGCGAAATTCATAGGGGGTGAGGAATTCATATACTTTTATGAGGTATTATTTTTGGTAGATGAGGAATATTTTTGGTAGGTGATAGTGTGGTAGGTGAGGTATTAACTACACTACTAAAAAAAACTGTAAAAAGAGACTTAAAAAAGAGACCTCATGAGGTCTCTTTTTTGAGTCTCTTTTTACAGTTTTTTTTAGTAGTGTAGTTAATACCTCACCTACCACACTATCACCTACCAAAAATATTCCTCATCTACCAAAAATAATACCTCATAAAAGTATATGAATTCCTCACCCCCTATGAATTTCGCACCCCCGAAAAATGGAAGAAAACGTACCTGCACTGCCACGGTTGCAGCAAATGAAGAGCCATTATGTTGAGGAGATGAAAAAGAAAAGAAGCTTAAAAATATGATGGCTTTTCCTTCCAAGTATGGTGCGACTGATTATTTATTTTTATTTTATATTTAAAAAAAGAGACCGAGCGAGGCCGCTTTATCTCATAGCCTAAAAAATGAAATTACCAAAAAGAGACCTCGTGAAGTCTCTTTACTGCATTTCTAAAAAATAAACTGCAGAAAAGAGACCTCATGAGGTCTCTCTACTACATTTCTAAAAAATAAAATGCAGAAAAGAGACCTCATGAGATCTCTTTTATGAAATTTCTGGAAAATAAAATGCAAA